AGGTGGAATGAAACACTGCGCAAACTGCCATGATCATCCCACATGTGTTGCATGGCCCTCGGTGACTTCAGGTCATTCACTCGCTTTCCAAACAGCTGCTCAACAGTTAATTAGAAACCTGCTTTTGTGTGTGTGTGCTGGAGTGTATATGGGGTGCTAGTGGTGTATTGTGTTGTGTTCAAGCAGCAGTGCTTTTACTTTTAGACAACTTTCACCTTGGGAACAATACATTATGAAATCCCCAGAGAATGAAATCCACAGAGTTCCAAAGGAATCCCAGTTCTTAATCGTAGAGCTGCAGAAACACTCCTGACACTGAGTCCCTGTTCTTCTCTGACTTCCACAGAGACATTGATCTCCGTCTGGAATAGTCATTTCAAACTACCAGGAGCTACTCCAGGAATTCCAGGAGCAGCAGGTAAACCATATTTAAATGTGTCGCCCGCGTTACTCGTCTTAACTCTGCTTCCGTTTCTTTCAGATTTCCCAGCAGATCATCGCTCTTCCTCCTGAGGTCTACCTTTGCCTGATCGCTGGTGATGACAAAACAAAAAGGAGCGGTGATGACTGTTGAGATCTGCTGTTACGTCCTGTCACCAACCAATGGGTCACCAAACACACCCCGAGGCGATGGACAGGGTAGGTGGGGGGGCAGAGTGGCAGCAAAGTGACAAAGGTGCCTATTGATGAAAATAAAATCAGGAGAGGAGGAATGGAAGGGTGGGGAGAGGGGGGGGGGTCACGGGAAATGAGGGTATTTGTCTTTAAAGAAGAGATCGGATGGCCAGGCATCTTTCTGGCCTGCGCGATCACTGTTGTCAGTGTGGCCACTATGGCACAAAAATACAAGGGCCCTTTATGAGGCTGGGAGGTAATTGTGGGGTATAGGTTACTGGGGTATGTGTGTATCAGAAAAAGAACGAGAGACAAAATACCACAGCACAGGTGCCTAGTCTTTTAAATAGCTGCTCAAGTATGAAGGGGAGGAGAGGAAAGGGAGGAGAAGATGGCTTTTCATTCTCCTCCAGACTCAGTGAGAACAATAAAGCAGGGGAAACCCCCTTCTCGCCTCAGGGTGGTGCTGATGGTGGTAAAGAATTGGTGGGTCACTGGGATAAGGGGGCACTGTGTTGGGGATGCTAACAGGTGCACGCATGCACACCCACATAAAAGAATGGCTGGGACATTCCAGTGCTGTTGCAAGTTTCAGTTCAGTGACTACCAATCATGCGTGCTTTGAAAAGCAACATTTGACCAGTGCGTGCTGTAGTGTTTTCGATTGTATTTAACTCCAAGGCAGCCATTGGTTTCCATTCATTTCATGATGGTATAAATATGTATTTGCAGAGACTTCTACTTAAATCAAGGGATCTATCCAAATCATGTTTCAGTTTATCTTTGTGAGAGTTATTCCATCCCACATTCAACAGCTTGAACGATACTGCAGAGTGAATACAAGGAAACAGCCGCCTGGAATTAAGGAAACCAGTTTACACATCATGGAGCGCATTGAAAAAGGGTCAGCAGAGATGTGAATGATTCCTAGTAAATGGGCTAACAATGTGTGAAAACACTGATGTGGCCATAAAAGACATAAGCATGTTGTATTGACTGCAGTATTTTGCGAACCATCCTTTATTCCAACCATAATTATAAACTCAAGTTTTAACACTTTGTTTGTTTAACACTAGTGAGGACATATGCAGAGTCATACTGATTCAAATTAGGATTACTATGTTTCATTATAGATGAATCCAATGATTATTCGGTGGTGACTCGATAACTGGTTAAAACATTTAGTCTATAAAATGTCATTGTATAGTGAAAGCTACCCATTCACTTTACAATGACATGAACAAACAGTCATGCTTGGCGAATCACTTGAACCGACTGGTAGCTTTTGGAGCATCACGTTAGACTCTGCTCTCCACCAACATTATCAAAACATCAAATGAGGAACAATTTTGGAACAATGCTGCTCAGCAGAGAACACACTCAGAGATCTTGGAACCCATCTGCATTGTGTCTGACAACGATAAGCCTCTGGGGGCAAGGGGCTATAGTTCTGGGGTTCCAGGGTAGCCAGCTGTTATCCAGGCCAACGCTGCTCGTTGTTAGTCCGACTAACAACTTGCAAAATATTAGCAAAATAATTTAGTGGAAGGGGTGGGGGCACACTGAAACAGACATATATATATATATATATATATATATATTACAGATATGTGAGTATAGAATAACGTTACAGAACACCTTTTTACCCAGGCCAGACGCCACGATGAAGTGACTGAGGAGCCTGTTATAAATTGCAAGGGGGCAATTTGTGGCCTGAAATTAGATAAATTGATTCATCCATGCAACAGCCCCAGAAAGGCTAAATAACACTAGCAGAGAGCTAAATCTATTTTAAAGTTATGAATGATTCTGTCGACCATTCAGGGGTCGATGCACAAATATGCATACACCCTCAAAACAGAGTGGGTGAAGGTAAGTGAGCTGTGATAATGTGGGGTGGATGTGGCTAATGGCTGATAGCTGCTGATCCCACACTGATTAACTCAGTGTTTTACAGGATGCTGCTAATGGACTGACACACACTAGACAGAAGTCACAAGGGCAACCCTACAGTATACACACACACACACACACACACACACACACACACACACACACACACGTCTGTACACATGCAGACCGACCAGAGATAGATACACACGTCGTGGTTCAACTGAGCAGCCAGTACTGCGTTTTGGATTAAAGGTCTCAGTTAAACGATTCCTAAAGCTGTCATTCACCGTTTTCCCTGAGAATGAAAAGAAATTCTGAATCCTATATTGGTCATACATGTAAACCAGTGTGTGTGTTTAACCCCAACACACACTCACACACACACAGACCAGTGCCAAACTCCAGTAGCTCTCTAAAGTGTCTTCAGCTTGTTGTGATAACCCAGCTCCATCTCATCCTGCTCTGCCGCCAGCTAACACACTATCACTGATTCACCGCCACAGATAAACCACACACACACACACATGCTGACGGAGACAAACAGTGAGATGTGGCGACAAAGACCGGGACGTAAGTACACACACACACACACACACACAAACACACACACTCTCTGAAGATGACAACAACAAAACAACAAAATGGCTGATGCTGTGGACAGGGGGTCCTGTTGTTATTTCCTGTTTTGGAGCAGGGTGGCTTTCTCTGCAGAGTCAAAACACACCTCCAGTAGTGTAGAGGGGGACTGGCAGATTTATCAGTGCACACAGGATTAAATACTCTTTCTTTCAGTCTTGCAGTGTTATCTCTCTTTCAGGTCTGTCTCCTTTTCTTTCTTTCTAGATATGATGTCCTGGGCCACAAAATGCCACTGTGTAGTCTAGGACTGAAGCCGCCTCTACACACAGACACAGACACACACACACATACCCCAAAGCAGGCTTGGGGTGCAGATAGGGGGTATTGATTACAGCTACATATTGATCCTGTATATTGCAGCTGGTGGAAAGTGAGACAGTAGCATTGGTGTTGGGCTCCTCTGTCCCCTCCATTCAGACAGATATGCTGACTCAAGAAATGACTGGAAGCACTGTACAGCATACTGTGTGTGTGTGTGTGTTCCATGCAGATGGCGTCCCATCACCTCGGGGAAGGCAGAGATAAGCAGAGTGTATGGGTTGAGATAAGATGGGAGCAGACACCGGGGAGACTGACTGACTGTAAGTGAGTCACTGGGAAATCTGCAGCTTTATGGCTTCACTGGGCCTGAGGACTCTGAAGGAAACACTTTTACTGGAAGACACGAGTCGGCCACACTTAAACTGCTTTATTAGCAGTGTGTGTCTACAGTATAGTAGTATAGCGTAGTCTGTGAAAGCTCATTCCTCACATCTATAAACACATTTCACAAGTCCTATATGTATAAGAGATTAAATATTAAACACACAAACTGATGTTTAACGCAATAAATCGCATTCAACTGTCATGTATGACATCACACACAACTCTGAAGACATGACATTTTCACGTCCTCATGATATGCTTCCACTTCAAGTTGATATGCGATCATACTGAATTCTCTCCCATCCCTCTGTGGAACCAATGCGATATACTCAATCACTGTACGTGGGATTCACTGACAAATGAATGAATCTGAAATAATTAAATATCACTGCTGATGGCTTCAAGCTCAAAAAGGTTGCCGTTATCAAAGTCTACCATCAGTTAAACGGTTTAACTGATGGTAGACTACGCTACGCTATGGTTAGCGTAGCGTAGCTCCAAACAGCTCCAAACACCAAGAGCTCAGTTCCAAATAAAACGCATTCTTAGCCATAACATGCGCAACGCTTCTCCGCCGCTGTCAGCCAGAAATACCGTTAGTACGAATCCTTTTCCATGCTAGCTGTGGGGTTGACCGACCCTTTCTTACGATGTCCAGTTTTTCTGGAAATGTCCTTCTTGAGAAATCTGTTTCTCCTCCTTCAGCCATTGAGTGTTAAAACAACAAAGCTAGGCAAAAATAAAATAATCTACAGCAAGCAAAACACTGAAAATGTCATAACTTCTCTTCCATATGTTTCAACTTGAACTCTTACTAAACACTAAGATCTGCTAGCTAGCTTTCCGTTTGACAAAATTCACGCTGGCCCACTGACCAATCACAGCGCACGTTAATGCTGACGTACTTGGGAGGCTACCTGGGTGGCAGTGGCACGTCAAAGAATACGCCCAACATGTCAAACTAAAGATCTGATTGGTTGAATACTATGACAATCAACAATATCGTCCCCATTCACTTAAACTGCAAAGGCTCTCTAGAGGACCTCGGGCCTCTCTCCTTACATAGAGACACAGGGGCTGAATCTGATTGGATAAAAGCTCTCCTTAAAACAAGCTGCACTGGAAGCAGAGCAACAGAGGAAGACAGGAGCTGTGCAATGAGAAAATAAGCTAATGGGGAAAATAATTATAATACATGTAGTGTATTTGTGAAAAACTTTGTGATTGTGTTTAGGCCAGCAGAGAAGGCTTAGCTGGCCCTGACGGCCCACCACTGGTTAAACCTAAAGTGCTACAACATTCTCAGAAAGGTGTCAACCTCAATTCAACAACTTTGTGCCAGTTATCACTGTGTTCTTATTAGCACAACTGGAAATCAATGGACATACTTTGATTTTAATTTGAGTATCAATTGTCTCCTTCAATCAAAAAAAAAAAACTACTTTCAACTTATTTTGGATAGTTGTGCCACACACAGACATGTTCCTCACAGGGTGAGACAAAAGTGATGTGTGTGTGTGCGTGTGTGATAAGAGGCGGCGCCATGGCAGTGGCAGGACACAACAATGAACCCTCCTTACGCACACACACATGCACACTGATAAGCATCACCTCCATCCCTCCGCCTGGCTCTGTCCTCCTGCCTCTCTCTGCTCTGAACCAGTTATTAAAGAAACTGAAAACACAGAGGACACGGCTGGAGACAGAAGAACCACGAATACGACTTTGGGCAGACGGAAGGGTACAGATAGAGAAGAAGGAGAAAGAAAGAGTAGGCCTGATGATGTACTTTAACTGGTGAAAGTGGGAGCAAACATTTAACTACTTGATCCCACTGGTCAGTCTTTACCGCTGCCTTGGAAATATTAATGAATCATAAATGCACAATGCAATTATATATTGCTATAAGTTTTATTTATTCAATAACTGATAACAAACACAAAACATATATATAATTATTGAAGTAGCACACTCTAGTCTCATAGAACACCCTCTAGTCTCTATTGAGACATATTTCAATATGGAAAACAAAAATCTTATCAAAACCCACATGGAAAAGAACAAATAACTAAGTATACTGTATAACCTAAATTTGTGGCACATATATTACATCAGTTCTGCAATAAATAAATATGTCATCCATTAAGCAGTGATAACACTTGTTGAGGTCCAGAGTGCCTTGAATGATCCAAGAGGGAGTGGTGGTCCTGGCTTGGATGCTATTGAATCGCCCCACATTCTTTTGTCCCCTTTTTGTGAACTCTTTAACATCTATTCATCGACTCGTGAAATACCTGCCACATGAAAATGTTCACACATCACTGCCTTGCAGAAAGGTGACAATGAACTTGAACTTCTGTTATTTGTTTTGTGGCAAAAGTATTTGAAAAACAATGTGTTGCCATTCAAGGAAGCACATCTGATACATTAGTACAAGAACAAGGCGTGCCTCGAGGCTCAACTCTGGGTCCACTTTATTTCCTCAATTTGTTCTGAATGTTGTGTTCAGCTTTATGTGGATGATACGGTAATATGCACATCTAAAACAAATTGAATCAGCTTTGCAGAATGATTTTAGCAGCCTTCAACACCGGCTAGCAGCTTATAAATTACTAGTGAATAACACTAAACCTCACACTAAAGCATTACATCTAAATCTAAAGCGTACTCATGTGTTATAGCCTGAGTTGATGGTACGCCACTGCAAACTGTTGAACACACCAAATACCTGGGCATTCAGTCTGACTCTGAACTTAAATGGACATGCCATAGTAATTACATCGTGGATGAAATGAACTATTGGTGTCCTTTCCCGATCCAGAAACTGCTTTTCATTGACTGTTAGAAAGAAACTTGCATTGCATCTCATTTAACCCATATTAGATTACGCTGATGTTGTGTATCAGGCAGCATCCAAAACCAATCTTCCACCTCTCAATTTATGATTTATTTCCATACACCTCACCGACCCAATTGAAGCACAGCACAGCTGGTTAGTGTTGAAGCCACCAAGCTGCTTAACCGATGTTAGCACCACGGTAGCTGTTTGGCTAGAATGCTACAACAGCTAACCATAATATCTCTATAAATACATTTCTGCTCAAATTGATGCATGTTTTATGACACAGACTCACGATTCATGTTACAGAAACGTCATCTGCGTGTCTACTGACACTGAATCTTACTGTCAATGTAGATGTTGCTAAGCTAGCTAACAATTTATACAGTCTATGTATATAAGTCTGACATGTCGTCCATCTTATATACAATCTATGTCCAAACTAGTCAGTGTTCAGTTGAAAATAACAAAGGTGGCAAACAAACCATATCTACGTTCATGTGCATTTTTACAGTTGTGTGTGCTGCAAAGCACCTCTTGGTATGTGTTGAAAAGCAGAGCAAGGGTGCGAAGAAAAACATCCTACCAGATATGTGAAACTATTTGTGACACACCTTTTTGTGACACAAGCTGTAAATATTTGTTGACACCCGAGTGAAAAAAAGCCAGGGGTGGCTATCTGTCAGATCAGATGGGTGAAGTCTCTGTCTCAAGACACAGCAGATAATGCCACAGACGCCACAGACACTCCTGTATCTCTTTTATCAAACAAAAGGCAACAGGATATAATGTCACGCAATAAGTGATGGTTCCCTCACCCACACTGGCAGCAAATACCAGGCATAATCCCCACACACATACACACACACACACACACACACATACAAACACGCACACTCACAAGACCCATGTAACAGCATTATACTTTGAGAGTAAAAGACATATTTTGAAGGGGAAATCCTCTCATCTGTGTGTGATTGGATTAGCCTAACATCGTAACCAGATTAAAGGAGACATGTAGAGGGACATCAAAATCACTTGAAACTAAATCAATCGTATTCGATGGCTGATAGACTTTACAGGCCTATTCAAACAATCGCAGTCTATCTAATTACAGAATAAGGGCACCAAGCACACAACGATAGGAAGGAAAACAACATGGATGCGGTGCAACACTCACAGCTGTGCATGGTGGGACGCAGCAAAGCTGCTGAATGGCTAAAAGACTGATTACTTATAATCCACTCGGATGCGATTTTGCTGGTGTTAGACAACAGCAAGGGAAAACCCTTTACCATTGAACTCAGGTTGTCAACAGAGTACATGAAATAGTAGTTAGAGTAGGCAGTAATATGCTCAGGATATGAATAAATTATAATTATAGATTATTGTTTTCCAATACAAATGTTCATTTCTAAGTAGGAACACTGCTAATGTATTATCAAGCATGTTTGATACAATTATGACAAATTACACATGTTGGAGGATGTTGTGTGACGCTGGGATGTTAATGTACATTTTAACAACATTTCGCTGACACAGGGCAAATCAGCACACAACAGGAATTGTGAGATTTCCCACACAGCTTAGTATTCCCAATACGAGGTCCTTAGTAGATATCATGCTGACTAATAAGATATCAGCATTATACAAAGCAAGAGGACTGAGTATTAAATAACAGAGTGAATAATAAGGTAATTATACGTAGCTGAAAAGCAAAAATGTAATTTTTGAACTATTTTAGAGTTGACTCATATATATCGTCTGCGCTGCGATTTCAGCGGAGCGGACATCCTTTAGCTACAACCTCGAAACAAGTCATTCACCACATCTCTTAACGACCTCTCAGATGGGAAATCATCGTAGAATATTTGATGATGACAACATTTGCAGTTTTAAAGTCTTTACAATGTCACTCCCTCTGCATCCCTTTCCCAAGGTAACTTAAGTCCTTCCAATCAGGGAAGAACATGGGGGGTTAGAACATGTGAAGCAGGTAAGATGGTACAACTCGTACATCATCGTACTTTTTTTCGTGTTGTTCCTTACTATTATGATGTCATCTTCTATTGTTTCTGTTTTTACCATGTAAAGTGTCTTTGAGTACCTTTTAAAGCGCTATACAAATAAAATGTATCATTATTTATTATTATTAACTGTAATCAGGCACATTTAGACAATTTAGTTTTCTTTTCCATTGCCTCATTAAACAGTATTGTAACACTGAGACTTCAGTTGTCAGTCGACGTGGTTGAGAGAGGTCAATACAGGAAGTGTAAATGTCAAGTAGGAAAAGAACGGCATCGACTGCTACCTGCTACTAGTGTCTTACACACTGTCTTTTTTTGAAAATGTGTCGTGTTGACTGTGAATGTAGATATACCTAAACATGGACCACGTAGACAGCACCACATTGTGATTAATGGGATACACCACCTTCAGACAATGAGAGACTGCAGTAAGGTAGATGGAGTAGAATGAACTACATCTAATTGAAACAGGTAGGAGAAGGATGAAATAGAGGAAGCAATGTAATGAGGTTGTATTCAAATACACCAGAGAGAAGCCAAAAATATTCCTACCTGATCCTGTGTCCATGAGGTTGGACTGCCCTCTACGATCTGCCACCAGCCGTGATGAGCCGGGCATGCTGACTGGCTCTGAACGTACCGGCTGGATTCTGCACACATTCAGTATATGTACATTTTGTTATTTTTTTGGGGTTAAAATTAGCTTTAAAACTGGCTACTTCTCAACTCCAGTATTGTATCTGAAGTTTCTATGATATGATTGACAAACAATGAGCAACATATGGAAGAGGAAGTCTTGGCTTCCGGAACCGGAACCCCAGACATAGCCCCTTGGCCCCAAAAGCTAATCAGTCTTCAAACCCACAGCCGATGGGTTCTGAGATTGTTGTTTTAGTGATGCCTACACTTGAGTGATAATTGTGGGGAAATATACGATTATGACAACAGTATTCTTGTACATGCTCTTGTAAGGATAATTTCTGGTAAACCTTTTTTGTATAAAAAAAATAAATAGTATATTTTTGCAAACCCCTTTGCTAAAAGGATATTTTCTTATTTAGACTGATACCATAGTGTGTATTTGTACTCGTGCTGAGCGGTATGACCAAAAATGTGTATCATGGTATTTTTTAAGATTCTGGCGGTTTCACGGTATATCACGGTATTATTTATTTTCCTTGACTTTATATAGGTTTATAGTGACTTACTCTACTGTCAGAAGTACATATAATATAAAAACATGTTAATGTCATCATGTATAAGGGCTTTGATTACTATAGGGCAGGGGTGGGCAAACTTTTTGGCTCGGGGGCCACATTGAGTTTTACAATATGACAGACAGGCCGGGCCAGTAGCAGATGAATGGAGTGTTTGTGTGAACTAATATAAATTACAAGTAAAAGCCATGACCTAAAAAGTAACTTGCATTTCATTTCAGTGGGTACAGTGTTGTTGGTCACCCTTTTTAACCAGTGCGTCAACATTTGGTGTCAGTTTGGTTGTGGCAATTCTCAGAACAGATCTGAGGTGTGCATCAGTTAGCTGGGATCTTACACGGTATTTTTTTTATCGCATTAATGCATATTTTATCGTGCACTTACTCATTAAGCAGACATTTTTGACACAGTGCTTTTAGTGTAAAGGTTAATGACTGTGGTCTTTTTAGCAGTTTGATTCTTTGACCGGATCATACAAATATTTGACTGTCACATCTAACATTATCAGAGGTCTGCTCTGTAATGTCTTTCCTTGTCTCTCCCCCTGTGTCACGGTGTGGGTACATCTCACTGGCGTCAGGAAACGTACCAGAATACCCTTATTTTATTGGCTAAACTGCATCACGTGACGTGATTTACAACGCATTGGTCGGTGTTTTTCCTGCACCGCCGAACAAGTGCCGTAAATGCTGGAAAGGAGCGTGAATAACTCCGCTGCATAAAGCAAAGGCCCGCGACCCACTGAAAAAGTTATGACCATGACTAGGGTTCCCTCTCAATACATATAAGACAACTAGCCCTGTCCGCTGTGTAATAGCGGCACAGAATACATTTCGCTGCCTGTTGAAAGCAGACAGCAGTTGTTTCGGATATGCACCGGTATAATGGTGTGTGAAGAATTCATATCATACGGGAAATTAAAACCGGTATACTTCCCAGCCCTAGTCTTTATTATAGTATGGACAATTTGTAATAGTATGGACATATAGTATGGACCAATATTTGACGGGCCGGATTAAAACGCCCAATGGGCCGTAGTTTGCCCATGCCTGCTATAGGGTGTGCTCGTTTGTACATCAACATTTATGCTAATGCATCTCTAAACCAAGATTTTTACAACAGGGTGTATTCTAACTGATATTTTCTAAGTACCTCAGGCTGTGTAGGTCCAAGTCGTCTGTGTCAAAGTCCAACAGTGGCTGTTGGACATCAGTGGGGCCCTGGGACTGAAGCACTGAGGATGAGGAGGAGATGACTGTGGTCTGGCCTGAAGGGTGAAGGGTCTTAAACTGGAACTGGGGGCCCATCCACAGTCGCCGATGAGGCCCTGTATGGGTCACAATTTCCACCTGAGAATACAATGGTAAAGGTTAGTAAGGAAAGGAGAGAAATATGTATTGTGATCATGAAATCACGCAAGAATCACAGGATCACATATCACAAAAAAAGGCTTCAAGTAATGCGTTCGTGGTCGGACCAGTGAGCGTCCTGTGACAGGCAGCTTCAGTTATATCTGAACTGGAGAGCATTTCTTCATTGAAAGCAGAGCAAAGAATGACACTGAAGGCTTTTCTCCATGGAAAAGATGTCTTTGCTCTTCTCCGGACCGGCTTCATCAAGACTTTTATTGACAGGTGGTTCATCCAATCACCAGGTACTTTTGGAATGTGCCAGTCATTTTCCGAACTGTTTCCAATGACGGCTCTGTCCAGTGTGTAAATAAGCCATCTGGTGCGTTAAGTTATCAAACTGGAGGACTGCCCGTCGAAACGACAAACAGACATACATTTCCACCCAAAACACATCTGCATCTCTCTTAAACATACTTTCCTCTACTAATCCATTGGCAGTTAGTCAAGGATATAGTCCTGGAAGTAATCCTGAGGAGTCACCCTGAGTGGATTTGACAAGGTGGTTTGGTGTCAATCTATCCACCAATACTCACCCTATACAGTACTCACATGAACTCTGTTACATGACATCCAACTAAAAGCTCGCTGTACTCTTGCACCACTAAAAAGTCTGAGGATGTTGTCAGAAGTCGTCAGGGTCTTGTGTTTGCTGGGAGTGCTGGCGGCATGATGGGAAGCCTTCCCGGAGGGCTAATAAAAGTGTGACACTAGCAAAAGCATGGCAGCGAGGCTGAGGTGAGGCCTACTGGGAGAATAAGACGGCGCTGGCATGGCAGGCGGTCCAGGGGCCCCTGAGCTGAGTGGCACTCATACTGGCTGAAAGTAGGATAAGAGAGGGATACGCAGTGGGTGACTCAAACGTCGGACTATTACTGCCTGCTCCATTCTCTATCTCCTCTTTGCCTTGAATGTACTGACTAACCATTTCCTGCCTTACACTCCCAGTTTTCACTGCTCTCCCGCGCTAACTCTGACTTTTCATCTCCCTGCAGCACTTAACACGCCACTTGGTGTCTCACTGTTCACATTTCATTATCTTTACTTTGTATGTGTTAGTCTCTCACCTCTGCCCAGAACTCAGCTCAGTCTCGCTCCATCTCTGGCTGCCAGGTGCCAACATCTCAGACAAGAGTGAGAGCTTACACTCTCTTAATTCTTCTGGGTCTATACACATGTATGCATATACAGGCTTAGATGTAGGAGGTCTGTCACAGCTGTGCAAATTAGGCCACAGAAGGAAGTAGGATGATTGTAACTTTTTGTGTGTGTGTGTGTGTGTGTGTGTCTGCTTTGCCAGTTAACACCATCAATGTCACGCCCAGCCGCATAACTGGACAGCTGTCAGTGGGTTCTCTTTGCAGTAGGATGGAAGTCCCAGATGTTGCAGTCCAGTGTCAACCATAAACCCCCTCCCCTGTAATCGCAACGAACAGAGCCGATGAGATGTTGCCTCATATTTACCATTACTGCCTTTGCCAGGTGCATGCATTGGTTTTAGCTGAGTGGTCGAATGACTGGAAAGGTCTCTGCATGCTTCAAATTAATTAGGTTGTACGAAGGGTCGTCCGACTATGTTTAAAAAAAAAAGAAGTCTATTCCTGTTTTGGAAGCGATACTCAAAGGTGGGGTGAAAAAACAGCACACAAAAAATGAATGTCAAACTCTTGGCTATGTAATATTTGGCGATTTCAGAAGTTGAAATCGCCAAATATTTTCAGAACAATCTGAAAAGCAAGTAGGCATTATGTTGTTAGGCTGTGGCAGTATGTATTAGGGCTGTAATACTTATAGTAAGCGGTACACTGTGGTTAATGCAGTCCAAGAATGGGCATGTTTTCAAACAGGTCTTAACATCCTGATATTCTTGTTATAACAAATCATAACTTGCTGCACTGGACACGAGTTCTAGCCAGTGTTACAATGACGAGTGGTGCAACTGATTCCATTGTCTCACAATATTCCTACAACCTGTAGCCAACTGGCACCATAGGTCACAACAACGATGCATCAGTACATTTTTGGGAGTCCTTCACTGTGTGCAATATTATCATTTTCATCGACTTGTGTTATGGCTTGACGGTTGATATTTAAAAACTGATATATAGCAGCACAAGCCATCAATTAGTTAAAAAAATAAATAAAAAAAAGTATTTGGTATTTAATACTTTACACGTTAACAATGAAGGGACAACTGCTGCTGTGTTGTCGTCATGCCTATAGTGTCCTAGAACGCATGTATTAGGACAGAACCTTGACCAAGTTTACCATCCATCAACTGCTCTGAGCTACGTCACATCCTTTCCAGTACATCAAAATTGACAGATGTAGAGACCTGAGGTGGTCTGGAGGTGTAAGGACAAGAGGTTCCGTTGTCCACTGACAGCCAGCTGAAGAGCAACTAACAATGACAGGCAGTAAATGGCACAATGTCACAGCAAGATGAAGCAGTGACATGGAGGAAAACCTCACATTTCATTAGGGGATAGCCAATCAATCCTAAATCCCAACTCAACGCCAAAATGCCTGCTGATAATCTAATGAAGGCCACTGATATTATTTAATGAAATCCACAAGGCAGTACTCAGACTCTAATTCAACATAGCCGATATGTATTCAGCATTTCACAATCCTCCAAGCTCTAGTGCTTGATATGTCCTAATCTTTCCAAAACATTTGGAGGATTGGGAAACTACCCTGTCTACCTGGTCTATAAACCTTTGTTTTATTTTGCTTTGGTACTTTCATCCTAAAGCCATTGATAGTCTGAGATGTTTCTCAAGAACTGGTACCACACCATCTAAGGTACACGCTAAGCCAGGTATAAAGAGCCATACTGTTACATCTCCAACCACTGAGGAACACATCACTACCACTGCTCTGACAGGAAGTTGCCAAAAATCTAGGTTAGTGCAATGGATAGTTTTGCTCCTGGCAAGCTATCATGGCTGATATGGACGAGGGCCTCTGCAAGCTAAGTGGGGTGCATTTTAACCAATGAATTATGCATGCAGTGGAATTATTGATGGTGAAAATGTAGTGGGTTACCTGCCGACACCAGAGATGAGTGCATTGAGGGTTAACCAAGCTGAAAAGACCAGGGTGTGCGTTCTGGGTCTTCTTAACATGGCCTGAACAAATACTGTGAACATTTCAGCACAATATAGGATGCTTTTTGTGATTAGGAAGAAGCCACAAAGTGCGTAGTCTTCTTAAACTTAAACTGAGCCTTCCACTTAGCACTCATTGTATTCATATTAGTTTGTTTCTGCACTGTACTTTTGCTCTGGTTTATGCTCTTAGATGCTTGTTTAAAAAAGGAGATGCACTTATGACTTCTGGTGGCTAGTAGTTCTCTTGAATACCTATGTTGAATACACTTATTGTATTTATTTGGATAAAAGCGTCTGCTAAATGACTGTAATGTAATGTAAACTGAGCGAGAAGAGTAAATGTGTATGAGTCCAAATAATTAAGTTCCAAATACTTTGTGTAAATATAAATAGAGAAGCGAATGTAAAGGTAGAATACATTGAAGACAGAATCCTTGCAGTGACAGATCGGGTATTTGAAGTTTATATCAGCAGGCCTACTTTTCACTTGGTAACAATGCAAATTTGTCTTCCCAAAATGTCAAAGTTTTCAAAATCCAGATAATGCCTTACACCTGCAATCAATGCAGTTTGGCAAATTGGGGGCAGTGGAACAGGCCAACCTTATAAAGTGGTTGGCTAGTGTGTTAGCAAACAGTAGCCTGACACAGGGTAACATAAGCATTCATTTGGACAAATGTAATTTCCAGAGTGAAATAGTCTATAGCGAGCCTATAGCTGCTAAATGCTCCACTATGTTCACCAGCTCATCTCTTAATTTGTCTGCCTGCTGTTTAGTGTTGGGAAGATACTTCCCAGTGGGTTTATGAGAGCTTTTCCAGCTGACAGCTTCTGCTGCAGTTGGATAAAACTCTAATGAGAGAGGAGTTGGAGACAAAACACTGCAATAATGAAGAAGAGGCCGAAGAGGCTTAAAAAACCTATACAACTGAGGGTGATGATCCACAATCTGTGGGCTCATCGCTGCAAACTACAGATTTTTCTAATAGACTTTTCGATCTTCATTTATGTAAAATATTGATTAGAGCTGCTTTAATCTTAAATTAAACAGCAAACATTTCCCCTTGGATGGAAGCACGGTAAGTCCCTGCTAAACAAACAGCTGTTTGCTTCAAAAGTCTTAACGTTAATGTTTTGAGTTACTTGGTCTATTTGGTCAGAATTGGGAATTCTCTTACTAACCAGCTGTCATAATTGAGATGGAAAAATGCCTGGATTTCATATGGATATACCTATCTGAGCAACAAGCCTATTAGAAGCGTGGCCTTAAGTTAACACCCAAAGTTCAAGAAGCTCTCCGATCACTGGCTGCTCACAGTCAGTGCCCATTATTCACACATACATGTGCTCAGCCCTCATTACACCGCTCTTTGACTATGTGTTGGGCCCTAATAAATAAACATTTACTGGGACAACACTTTGTGGAGGTACCAGCTGGGTGACTTTAACGACATAGGTAAATAAACACATCACCTTTTACAGAGGAGCAATAGAAAGCATCCTGAAAGGAAACATTACAAACAAGAATGACAGGTGCACGGCCCAGGACTGGAGGGCTCCACAGTGAGTGATTAAAACCACCCAGAACATCAGTGATACCCATCTACAGAGCATCAGTGGGATTGGTGAGGTGAGGTGCCTGCGCAGAGCCCAAAGGGTATTAAAAGACTATACTCACCCCGGCGGCAGCCTGTTCACCCTGCTGCAGTCTGGCCAGAGATACAGAGGTATCCACTGCTGTACCACCAGACGACAGAGCAGCTTCTTTCCTCAGGGTGTGAGACACCTTAACTCATCCTCTACTCCACCATAAAAAAATGTATATATTTTTGGTTTTTCTTGTGTAGCATAAAGGGACTGCAACTTTCATTTTGTTGTGCAACCCTGTTGTAGAATAAGCCTTGATATCAAAAAAATCACACTCACGGTCAAACTCTTAATATTGTTTTATGGAATCAGAATTATTCTTTTTGCCAAAACAACAAAGTAAGCCATGAGACCACAGCAACCGAACTCTGGGTGTGATCTCAAGGATAGTCAGGTAAGGTCACTCATTTGTCTGCTTGACACAGACTAACTCAACGTAACTGTAATGTTGGTTAAGAGGTCTGACCTGAGAGAGCCACTCCTCATCCTCCTGCCCACTGTGGTCTGATGCCAGGCTGTCTGACGACTCGTGGCGGGTGATCGGGCCTGGACTTCCTGGGGGCATCGCTAAGGAAACACAAACACACACACGCAATTATATGATGGCATGACAATAATGACATTTGATATTTTGAAGCTTGCAATATTGTGTCCCAATGTTCAATATCTATTTTATTATCTAGTTTTCAAAATCTCTAAAATGAAAGTATTTCATGTTTAATTTCTACATAATGATTATCTTTCAAAGTGTAAAGCCATCACAGAGGAATATCAGTCAATTGAAGCAGTCTGGGGCAGCAAAGTAGGGAATTACATATTGCCATTAACTATTTACATACATTAGCCTGTGAAAGAAAATCATTACTGACAACTAGTTCACTAAAGTGTGTTACGGACTTTGACAGCTGATACCGATATATGTCGGCTGAAGTCAGTCCCAGCAGTTATTTTGTGCTCAAATATCAGCTCTTACATGTGATGACTGCCCATGGTATTGTTAATGCCATGGGCAGATATAACAGTCCATCTAAAACAGAAATCCCATGTTTTTCTTTCTCTCATATAATATAGGTGCGTAACAGTGTGTGTGAAAAATAGAGTGTACAGTGGAGTGTGTGAGAGAGAAACTGTGTGGCATGTGTGTGTGCTATAAAGAGAGAGAGAGAGAGAGGGTGACCCAGAGACAGATGGGGCTCTTGCAGGCTTGAATAAGCAGGCGTGGAGAATGAGGCCTAATGTGTAGAATCAGTCCTTTCTCTGTCTCTGGGATGGGGTTTGTTTAACACAGGAATGGCTAATAAACTTGTCAAGTCCACATCTGGAGCACAGGAGGTGCTCCTGTCTCTGTCCGCACACACACACACAGTCTCACACACGTGGCAGGTGTTCATACACCCCTGATGAAGGTAGTTTGGTGTTTGATACTTTGTCTTACCAACAGCCACCCCCACCTCACCCCGACACACACTTTCCCCTTATAAAGTATGAGGTCTGCACAGTTCTTACAGCTGCTTCTGAAGTAGTGATCGCTGTGTGTATAATTGAAGTTGAACAAATAAAGAACAGGTTTGACAGGACTGGGTAGGCAGAGTGAGCAGCCACCAGAGAAAAAAGCACCTCCTACAGAAACCAAGAGAGATAGATGCACTACGCACAGTGTCAATACAAAATAAAAAAACACAACTTAACTTGTAGACAATCTTGTAAAAGAAAAGTGTGACTTGTCAAATCAATTTCCACAGTAAAGACATCAGAGAGTGACATGGGACACACAGGAGGGCAGGGGGAGGAGTTATCAAACAAACGACTAAAATAGAATGTGCAATATGTCTGTGAACAAAGTTGTGACAATGTGGCCAAAACAATCTCCTACTGTCAAGCCATACCATAGAACTAAATAGTTGTATCAAATGTGTCGTAAGACATTGTTTAGACTTCTTAAAGCGTTAGTGTCATGTGTCTATCTCTGACAGTTCTGTCTCCACTACAATAAAACAAATGAAAGGGGCAAATGGAAATCAGTTTGTGGTCCTCACAACACAGAAAAACAAATGTCAGTAAAAGCTCAACAGCAAATTCTCACAGGGACTATTTCTTTGGAAAGATGGATGTGCTTGTTTTTCGTATTTCTTTTTGTAATTTTGAAGAGTAGAGAGAGGGACACAGAAGCGTCCTCGTGTCGTTTTAAAATGGAAGAGAGAAGAACAAAGCCTGTGTTGTGTTACTTATTAAACTAAATCACAACTCCCCCAGTTCTTACCCCTGCCCTTACTCCCACTGCCTCCCTTTCTCTCTCCTTCCTTCTCTCTCTCTCTCTCTGACCCTTGGGGCCAATAACTGTTCCCTAATTAATTATTGATGTTCTGAAGCAGTTGGTGGACTGGCTGGATCAGGTTTCCAGTGGGGAGGGGGGCTTTCAATGGCTAGATTCACAGCCAGGCTCCGGTGTGGGGAGCTAGTGGTCATCCCCACAGGTCAAGCAAAGACACAACCTTTCTTGTGTGTGTGTGTGTGTGTGTGTGTCTGTGTGTGCGTGTGTGTGTCTGTGTGTGCGTGTGTGTGCGTGCGTGTGTGTGCATGTCAGGAGCCAGACTGACCCCAGCAGTTACAGTCATATCTACCCATCTTAGTGTCCGGATAGCCAGACACTTGGCCTTCTGCTTTTATAATGCTCATTACTGGCTCTTCAGAGACAGAACGTCAATGCAATTTCACAGACAACATTTTGTAAGTGCAAACTTATTGCACTGCACTCAAGAAAGGAGTCTGAATGCACAGTAGAAATGGCCGTGTTTTGATGGGTTTAAAGAAATACCACAGAATAAGCAAAGCATGAAGGCATTACTTAGAAATGATCAAAGAGTAATGGGGAAGCTAGTGCATCAATTCAATACGCCACAGAATATTTGACCAATAAAAATGCCTTAGCGGCTCCAGTTATATATTGTTGTTCAATTTCCAAAGGAACTCAGCTTTAGCATGGCATGATGGTTAAATTATACGCTATACCAGAAACGCATGCTTGTATATGTTACTCAATGCCAACAATGACCCTGTGTCATGTTGCTACATGTGCTGACTCTCAGCCTTCTGCGGACCAAACACACTGTACCATTGCTAACCCATGGAGAAGTGCATAAGTCCTGGCCTTACTAGTACCTGCTGATGCAAAATGTGTTTGCTGCAAAAGGAAGACGAAGAAAATGGAAACATGGGATCAGCATTGAAGAAATAAGCTATTCATACAAAAAGCCATTAATGTTCATGTCAAAATAAGTCGTTGACATTGGGTTATGATAATATGACGATATGTAGTGAGAAAATATATACATTAGTTTACCGTCAGAGCTTTTTCCATCCATTCATATCCTGTTATCTCTGCCTCTAATACCACTGGGCTCCTTGTTTGCAGCCTTTTGAATCAATAGGCAAGGTTGCTGTATGGTCATATTTCTATATACATTTTGCATTAATGTGATGAAGCACATGCATGTCTTTGGCATTTAATCTGCTTGATAAGCCAAAAAACAGAGAGTCTCGTCTGCTTATTTTATCCATAAACATCTATTGATTTTCCTGAAAACGTTCTACATTATGATATTTTTATGGGGGTTGAGGGATGAGCGAAGTCTACTTCTGTGTTATATGATGTTTTGCCTGTGACTGCATTTTCTGAATATGTCTCTATTACAAATCATAAAAAAGAAAGAAATGACTATGTAATTATAAGCTAAAGGCAGAAAAATAAAATGGAAACGATTAATCGGCCATGACTCACATGCTATTTGCTTATGATTGTTGACATCAAAGGTAAGCTTAAACTGTAATTCATGAAACATGATTTCCAGATAACTCACAATAATAACTTTCTTGTTAACGAGTAGGATGATTCATTTGCTTTTGGTGTGTTTCTTCATTAACAACCCTGATGAATATGAGCTTGCATACCCACATAAGCAGAAAAAGTCCCTCCATTGCAGAGAAACTGATTTGTGTGTGTCACAGTCTCTATTGACTGTGGAGAGGGTGGTGTTTTGCTGTGCTGAAGGCTGGTAGCCAGTGGCCTGTTAGCCAAAGCAGTGAAGCAGGGAGTCAGAACAAGAACAAAGGCTGCCTAGGTATTGATGTAGCCCGACCTCATGGGGCCTTGGGCCAGGGGCCGGACAGGCCGATCTCCAGGGCTAGATAAGGTGCTAACAATCTGATAGATCTGGACAGCTGGCTGCACGGTGGACAGAGGACAGCCGGCTTGTCTGGGCCGGCCACTCTGTTCACCTTTATCTCTTTCATTGGTTTTTCTTAAAGATTCATTTTGTTGGTCTTTAATTTTTCCTCTCTCTACTTTGACCTGCCACACTTAGCTGCCAGACATTTCACTTGCTCGGCTCCTTCTCGACTGCTCCACCTGTCTCTCTTCTCACTTTCCTCTCTTCTTGCTTTCCTCTTCTGAGTAGTACTCTGGCAGATAGGTGCTGGCACACTGACAGACTAGGATAGCTTAGTCATTATATATCATTCAAGGCGTATTTGACTGACAGTTCCTTCATTCAGCCAGCGCTACACTTACCCCATCCTTTCTCTGCCTCTCTTTGATTACTCACCCAGTCATGGCGCCATGGTTTCTCTTTACCAAACGCCTGATGCTCCAAGGCCTTCACTCTGGCCCCTCTCTCGGAGCAATTAGATCTATTGACGAGGCTACTGTGGCTGGCCTGTCATGGGCCTCAAAGTCCCAAGAGAGTGGCCGAGCCAGCCAGTCAGTCAGTCTCCACAATTAGCACATTATATGACAGGTAGGGAGGGGAGGGCCACGGCCAAAAAGCATAGCCTCTGCTGCTGCCGTCATTGCCAGGCTCAAAGAAGCCAGCCAGATATCCAGGTGGTAAATTATTCACCAGTTTGTTTGCTTCAGAGCAACTCTGTGGCCAGGGGAAAGAGGTGTTGGAAAACATACTGCGGGCAGCTAGGTAAATATCACCCCGAAAAAAACCTCACTCCGAATAAAAAGTCTGAATGTAGCTAATGGGGGTGTGAAAACCTCACATTCATCAAAGTATAGACGCTGTTATGCTAGGGATTAGAGTAGTCCTTCTGTTATTACCCAGCTCTAACACCTCTGGCCAAAAAGAAAAAAAAGACCCATTCACACACTTGCCGATGAGACAAATGAGTACTTTTGGAGACACAGACAGGAATCCTGTGATTCCACCTCAGCTATAGATAGAGGATTCCCAAAACACTAACAACTTGGATCCAGACTGCTTTTATGAAGCCAGATCACACTACAGCATCTCATCTATTTGCGAGTATACTGTATAGTGTGTGTCTCTTTCTTCCTTATCTCTCCAGGGCAGTGCTGCATGTTGCTGTCCTCTGCGAGGCTGAGTGCTGCCAGTAGCTGCTACAGATGGACAGGTGGAGATAGTGACCATGAAGTGGCGCCACTGCTGCCTTTTATCATCCCGTCCTGGAGGCTCCGGTCTGGCCTGACCCCGGCCCTTCCTCTCCCCTTCCTATTCCTTTCCCTGCATACTGCATTTTTAATCAGCCTGGGTCATCCAATATAGAGCCACGAGACCAGAAACCATGGCCTGCCAATCAAGCGCTGCCACCTCTCCGCCTTGTGTCACATTTTTAGAGACAAAATCTGTTAGTTAGCCAATTAGCTACGGGGGATATTTATCGAGATTCCTTACCCTCATTCTTTGACTCTTTTGGTACTTCTGTTTCTGAAAGATTACTTATTTTTGCCTTCATTTGATAGTGATAGTCAGGAAAGTGGAGAGAGAGGGGGCGACATGCAGCCAACTAGGTGAGCTAATGGAGCACCCCAGTGCTTCTGTTTCTTGTCTCATAGCAAAAACCTTCTCGTCTCATTTCCTCTCTCGCTACTTGTTCTCTCTTGTGATTGTTGTACTGGCAATGTAAATCAGACCTAGATGGCACAATTTGTTCTGCATGTAAGAACCGTGTGTCTTTTCAGTTTCATCCGCAGCGGCAAGTTGCAGACGCTCAGCGAGAGGCAACTGGACAAGGGGCGTATGGCTGCGCTGTAATTCATCCTGAGGTCAAATCGACTCTTTCTCCTGGATCACTTCTCTGTTGTGCTGCCAAGCCCTGGAGGAAAGAGAGGGCTGGCAAGGGGACTCATGCTGAGAAAGAGGATGTGGAGAGTTTGTGCTCGAGTGAAAAGCGCAGAAGTGGAAGGTTGCACTCCAAAAGCAACTCGGCCGGTGTTGGTGGTGTCTAGGACGTTGACCCGGAGGGAAAATGGCAGGAGCACACGTAGTGGGTAGAGGGCTGAACAATTATGTTTATAGCGTCATGACCTCGCATTGGTTCACACTTGGTTGGTTTGGGGAATAAAGAGAGGGGGCAGTGTTATCTGGATATTGTTAATTGGATGTAAATGTTAATGCAATGAATCTCTCTCATTATGCAGCCAGTTCCACTGCCCATGCTGGCAGAGAGAATGGAGGAATAAGCTGAGGCGCATGCCCGTCACTCCAACGTGTCCTCATCGCGCTGACACTAGGAGAGACCATTAGCACTAATTTGGGAAAATATCCTACCAGTTAGACCTGGAGCACTGCAGAAGTCAACGGAGACGAGTAGAGAGATTAGGGTAAACGCAGCTACCACTTGCCCTGGAGCAGCCACATGAGCTAATTACAGATTTTGTGTGTTTATAATTATGGAGTGAGCTCAAAACGCCAGCCTGTTCCAGGGGGTGGATTGATTCCGTGTGTGGCCATCCGTGTGCACTCTGCGCTTTTGCGAATTGGCCTTTCAGAGGGCCACCTAAAGTGCTCACTGCTCTGTACTTGTTATTGAATTAGAGAGAGTTTAGGGTGTCAGCTAATTGGTCTGAGTGCGACATCTTAAAGCGTTGTGCTAGCATGCCCTGAAGCCGGCATGTAGTGTGGCCAGCAAATGAAGGATTCTAGGTGAAGCCCCAAACAGAAGAACAGGAATGACTTCTGACAGGGCTCAGAAGATATGGTAGAAATAGTGGAAGTATCTTTTACCCAAGTTTTTGAGAAAGGACATGTTATGGCTGCTGACTGGAGAAGTCTCTTCTCAGCATGTGGCACCAATAAGAGGCTGAGGACTGGCTTTCAACACAGTCAACATGGAAAATCAGCAGGGAATAGGGGTCACCCCCTTGACTAATGGTGCATACAGTAAAGAACATGGCTGCGTTAGCCTGTGCAACCAAAACATACACACAACTATATGTTGGAGATATTTTGATGGGTACGTGTTATAAACCACACCGTACATGCAGTGTAGAAACGGTATTGATGCCATTGGTGTATTTGCCCCTTTTGAAGCAAATCAATTTTTTTGCAATTAATATTACTGATAATAATACTACTAGCTGATTTGACATTGGTGTATTAGGATTAAAGAAAAAAAAATGGACTCTTTAGCGTAACATTTTGGCATTACCAGTCAATGAGCGCAGAATAGAGCACAAAAGAAAAAGCCGAGGAAAATCAAAAACTGGAAGAATATTTTGCTGAAATGGTTGATTTATCTAAAATGTAAACGTTTCTTTCTACACTGTCCTTACTTTGTTAAATATTCAAGGCCTCTTAAAGCAACTAGATGTGGGATTTTCTTTTTTGATGATAGCATCTTTCAAATCATTTTGATCACATTTTGCTTGAAGATACATTTGACAACCTCGGTGAAAACTGAGGTAGACTGTGTGCTTTCATTCTGACTTTCAGTGACCCAAATTCTGATTTGTGGGGTTGCGAGTAGCAGTATACTAGCTTGACATCGCCAGACCTCTCAATTTGTTTGTAGTCTCAAGGCGCGTTATCAATGCACGTATAGGCCAAGATGCCTCTGGACAGAATTGCTTAGACCTTTAACCAACTAGAGCAAAGAAACATGTAACCTAGCACGGATCAACAGAAAATGATCTGGCATGGAGTATTTGTGATTTGGTCTGGTGATGTCAGGCTACTTGATATCGGTTAAAACATAACTCAGCTGATTTTAAATATCAGTATTGCATCATCATTGTCTCAAACACCCCCCACATTGGATAAACGCTTGTGATTGGTCCGTCATATCTTAGGCTGCTGGAAATTTGTCCAAAAGGGGGACCAGACACAACTGCCAAATAAAACATGAAGTCACAGATTTGTCTGGTTCTCAGGCAGTGTATACTGCTGCCTGCCATGCTGCTGTCATTTTTATTATTACCACAAATTGTTAAGCTCAACACACAGTGGGTTTGAATTTGTAAAACTGCCCTGAGCCTGTATATTGTTGTCATATGGTATGGAAACTAATCAAAATCAATTCTGAACTGATCATAATGTTTCCTTCTTTATCAAAATGCCAATGAGCTGACAACTCAAACACATCCATTTGAGCTGCCTAAAGCAAATCTGTATTGATTTGTATTGGCCTCTATTTCTTCCACTGACTTGTTATGTATTTATACATTAACATATACATCCCTGAATGTTACTTTGCATTCTATTTGAACACAACTTGATAAAGTAAATGGGCTTGTTTGTGTAAGCCAATGAACACATGAAGAACGATTTGTTTGACGCTTACCAGCCAGAAGATACTGATAGTACTGCACCAGGTCTGAGGCCAACACCAAGGGGTGGTTGGAGTTGAAGGGTGGCTGCAGCTCATTCCATTGTGGAGTCCTGCTCCAAAAGACAAATCAACTATGAGACTGACTGCATAAGAGGCACTTTTTCAAGGATCGAGTGGTCGACAAAGTGTCACCTGGCTAGAGTCCAGCAGGCCCTTGGACAGGTGCTGAGCTCCAAAGGTGTGTCATCACTAATCTTTTGAGCAGTGCTAATTGGCCGTGGCTCCAGGACATGCTCCACCAAGTTACCATAGCAACTGATGATGTACAGCGAGTCGACAACAGACTGCCTGGCCTGATCTGTGAATGGGACGTAAAACAAGACAATAAGGAAAAATACTGCTGCAGCCGCTACTTAAAATCATTATTGAAACATGCATTACTAATAATGAGGGAGAAAATGCAGACAGTTAAACATTTTTCAAGATGTTGTATCCATACGGAATTTGGTATTGACTTTTGGGAAGACGTGTTTGGATTTGGGCCTCATGGAAGAACCACTCGTACAACAGGCTCCTTCTTAATGGCTTGTATAAGTCATTTAGGAGAACTTGGCCTTTGCAGGTCAATTTATTCAGTTGCTGATGCTGTTAAAATGTTCAGACGTTCCTTCCTATGAATCTCTGATAGCAGGACTTCAAAAGAGGACATGTGGGGCAGGATGCGTAGCCTAATATGTTGTTATTGGGGCCTTAGTTATTGTAATTTACAATTCTCAATTTTCAATGCTCATTTTCACACAGGCGATATTGCTAATGTTTAAGCCTTCATTTAGTCAGTTATCTCAAGTTAGGCGTCTTTGCTGAATTTGAAATGGTACACTCATTCTGGCCCAACGTACAAAAGACAAAAGAAATGAATAGGAATTTGAAAATGTTGCATGAGGTCAATTGACTCTAGAAAAATACAAAAAGTATCCAAGGCCATGGTCTAACCTTTCTCTCTCTTCATGTTAGGGTTGGTGATGAACCAGGAGCGAGGCGAGGCAAAGATGGCGGCCACACAGAACTCTCCTCCACTGGACTTGCTAGGGGAGATCTGAGGCGGCGGCTTAGCTTTGCTTCAGGAGGGAAAAGAGAACAACGTTGACACAAGTTAAAAACTGTACTGCAGAGTGTTTTCTCAAAGGTGCTCTGTGTGGTGTTTGAACTTTGATATATCAAACCCAAATGACTTGTGATTGAGCGGGTTAAATCCTGTAACCAAATGAGAAGGACGTATAGCAAATTACCGTTTTGTCAGAATTAAGACTAGTGGCACAAAATGTGAACTACATGAAATATGTAGCACCTTTGAGACCAAAATCTGTAAGTGGTTGTTCCATGAGTGATAACCAGAATCTGATTTAGAAGAAGTGATGATTTTCAACAGTATAACACAAGAAATGTAAATGGTAATTACACAGCGACATCTCCAACGATAAACATAAACTTTATAGAAGTGCTTTGCATGCAAGGGCCAAACATGGGAAATTGAAAAAAATAAATAAATACAACATTCACCTTAGTAGCAGAAAATGAGAAAATTAATTTAGCTCTGACACAAATATGAAATATTCAGAATTATTTCCCCCCTTTCTAGGTAACTTCCTCTCTGAAAAGGACCGTATTGAGACAGGGTGCCCAAGTAGAAGAAGACAATAGGCCTTTTCACTTGGGGCGTGGCCATTCGGGCTGCCATCCCGTTCAGAGAAAGCCAATTGCTTGGTTTGGCATGTCCAAATTGCACCAACGTCAACACTGCACTTGGTCGCCAGTAATACGTCCACCAACTGTAAAGTAGACTACAGTGTTGGTGCAGTGGGAATGCCTCTGCAGAAGGTCCCATAAAAGCTGTTACCCAGTGTGGCAGAAAAGTTGGTCCTGGCTAAACTTACGGGGCAGCATGTTGCAATATGATGAAGAGATCAGATGTATTTATTTGCCAGCAACAATATGTACAAGAGCACTATCCAGGTGGACTGTAGCATGTAGCTTGTAGCTTTGTGCTACATTGTTGTTGGCAATGAGATGTAAGAGACACTGTAACATTGTTACTGTAATGTTCCGGTGTTGTACTGTACAGGCTTGAAATGACTACCCCCAGTGGTTTCTTTGTGTTAAATAAACCTTCAGACTGAGCTTCCTGGTTTGTATTTGATCTCTTACCTGCTACGTTGTAACACCCAACTGATGTGGCTTGGTACTGTTTCGTAACTGTGCTATTGTTAACGTGCACTTAAACTGGAACTGTACTCTAACATGTAACTGAGTGTGTTTAAAGACAACAAACTGACCATTTGCAACCAAAAAGAAACACAACATTTGGCTTCCATTGTTACAATGTGCACAGGCTGGTCAGCCAAACTAGTCACAATATTCCCTCAGCTTTGTTCACTGCCAGATCATCATCACTGGTGAACGATGTCATGTGATTGGTAATAGTGCATATTTTCAGTTTTTTTAACTTCTTAAAATTCCCCTACCAGTTGGTGGATAGGGGTGAATGATTGGTGTTGCACGATAGTATTAGGGTGAGGGTTATTATTTTATTTTTTTAAGGTTAATATACAGTAGGTATAACTCCATTTTTACTTTACTGTTTTGAGAAACTTGTAAGTTGTGTATACTCCAATAACATTCCTGCTCCTCCATATGGTAGGGACCAATAAACATTTAAGTCCTACTAGATACACACGATCTAAATGATATTTGAAATAATGACATGCTATATTTATCACTTAATGGGACATACACCTCACAACAGCAGTGTCCAAGCTGCCTCCCCTGGCGGCATTGCGTTGTGCTGGCCACAGGAGAGAATTTACTGGGAGTCATGGGATTATTCAGCATGTCAGGACTGTTTGAGAGGAAACGGACACAGAAAGGGGTTTCAGCTGCAATAGTGCTCCCCATATGGTAATGATCAGAGAACAGTAGCCAGGTCTGGTATTATTGTCCGGCCTTATAACCAACCTGGACAGTAAAACATGGTCATAGTAGATCAGGCATTAGGTGGGCTAAGGGCTTGAAGACTCACGGTGGTGTCACACACTCCCAGAGGGATGCTTAATCTTGACCTTTGTAACCACACTGGTGTGGAAGAAACACACTCACCGCTGTCTACACTCACTAAAAGAGAAAAAAAGTGATGCAGAGCTGCACTTTTTCCGTTTTGTTCAGGGTTTTCCGAGACATTATACGGCTTTGGCGCAGCACCTAAGCATTTTTGCGCCGTGTCTAAGCCGTATAAATAAAAAAGATTACGCAGAAAGCATCTGGAAGAGCCGACACGCGGGATGAGACGGGGAATGAGAACTAACGTGATATGATTTGTTTCCTGTACAATATAGCATCAAAAAATAATGTCCGGCACAACTAGCCAGCCAAAGGTTGGCTTAAAGTGATCACTGTAAGCACTGGTACAATGGTGTACAGTGAATCTCACTGAATGGGAAATGAATTAGTTAACTAGATCGAATGCCCTTCAAGTAGAAAGCATACATAATATTGACGATAAGAAGAAATCATCTACTAGTTTTTAAAAAAGTAAATGAATCAGAACAAGAAGTTGTTTGAATACGATGCCTTTATTATAAATGTTAATTTGCTAAACACAGTGAACCCATAAAATGCGAGTCTTTTGGCAGTAGCCCGTCTACTGTTCACACTGCTGTCATCGTCATCAATGTACTGGCAGCGGAAAGAAAATCAATTACACAAGAATAGTAGTAAGCAACATATCCCTTGTGTTATGTTGTGAACACACCTGATGCACCTCACCAGCTCTTACTGTTGAATCAGTGCATGAGCATCAGCTGGTGCAGGTGTGCCTGGAGGTCTGGATGTGGGAACTCAGGGTCTAGGCTAGAGGCTATTAGTAGTAGTATGATCAAGTCATGCTCCTTTTGAACAATTATTAGTGAACCGTTAGTCAGTTTTGTTTGTTTTTTTCAAACAAAAATATTTTCTGAATCTACTTTTTGGATTTGGAGAATATGGAAAAGTTCACAGCTTTCAAATTGATGTAAAATTATTCAAAAATGCATTGAATTGAAAAACATTCACGTCTTTGGGGGGTAATGAGTGTTAGTACTGCTCTATAGCTGAGAAAGCTGAGG